TAGAATAGAATAGAATAGAATAGAATAGAATAGAATAGAATAGAATACTTTATTGGCCAAGTGTGATTGGACACACAAGGAATTTGTCTTGGTGTAAATACTCTCAGTATACATAAAGAAAAATTTGCAATCTTGTTAGCAATTGGCAGATGCATTCCTTGCTCTTTCTGCGTGAATTTATTCCTTTTACTCTTTATTTTTCTACTTTTTATTTGAAGATCTAGTTCTCTCTCAACCACTACTTTTTTCCATTGTATATTTTTCTCCCTTCCTGATCTTCCTTCATCTTATTAACATACTCTTCTTATACCTCATTCCTACTTTTCATGCATGTTCAACTTTTTCTGAAGCTGCATATGTGTAAATTACCGTATCCAGTATCTTTTTTTGCTTCTCTAGCTATCTCTTGGTTATTAATCTATTCCTATTTTGGACTAGCTCTAACCATGGTAATTTGCAGGAATTTTTCTAGGGATTGAGTGAGCAGAAAAGTACATAATGAAATGCAATGTTAGGTCATCATTTCTAGTAGATGTGGTGATGTTTAGTAAGTATGCATGAATCTTGATCCATCCCTGTGCTATTTCTCAAAAGACTTCATCCTTTAAATGCAGATATGCTCTTGTTGGTTGAAAGGCAACCTGGATTGGAATTAGAGAGGACTAGGTTTACTTGAAGGCTGAGAATCACAGTTTAGGTTATATTCATGGATTCATTTCTGCACCTAGTCACGATTCAGTAGAGGACTAGAAACATTCTTTTTCAGCCTGTAATTAAAGTGAAATTTCCAAGAAAAAGGAAATTTCTAGGTAACAATTGAATTAAAAAGGAAGATTCAAGAAAACCTATTCTTTAGAGAAATAGAAAAGGCTATATTTTTATTTCCTTTAATACTGAATGTTTCTGTTAGCAAATATTTTTATATTCTCTCTTTTACGTCATTTAAAAATGTTTGATTTTATTGATCTCTTCTAAGATATTAAAGCAGATTTCTCTTATATTACAATCATGATAAATTAGTAGAGGAATCATTGTTTATATGAAAACTACCTTTGCCTTAACTTGATACTGAATCAGAAAATTGTGCTTTCATTAAAAAGAAATTTTTTAAAAAATATTTTTATATATTTTTAAAATAAAAATTTAAAATTTTAAAATATTTTTAATGTTTTAAATTATTTTTAAAGTTATTTATATACATATATGTGTCTGTGTACATACATATTATATTATTTGTATAATATAATCATCAGCAAAATTAATTTTAAAAAAGTAATTATACTTTTATTTCTGCATTTTTCATTATAATAGAATTCTGTTTGTTTTAACATCAACTTCCAGGTATATATTTTTCTGCACTCCTAGTAAAACCTATTATCAATTCTAAAGATAAAATAATATAGCAAAATTAGCTTCTTAGTTTCTTGCTGTCTCTGATTTGTTACTTAATACATATATTGAATTCTTATTCACATGAAATTTGAGGGTTCACATTCTAAAATTTGAATGAATCCTAGAGCTCAGAAACCCAATCAGGTTCACATTATACTGAAACAAAGCATAAATCAAGGGGTGGGAAGGGTAGGGGGGAATGTTGCTGGTTCAAAGAGAATTCTTTGTAAGAAGTTGTAAACCGTATAAAGGGCACCCTATTCTCATCCTTCTTTCTATTTTCATAGAGTTTGTAGACTTGGGATTAAGTTTATATTGACAGAGCAAACATTTTACTGGCTTCCAATGAACTGTAGTCTGTTAAGAAAGAAGATTAGAAACCTTACAGCACCTTTGCTTTGCAACATTAACTTAAAAACGGATGAAGCCAATGTTTTTCAGAATAATCCATTTGATTGGAATTAATAGAAGAGTTGGTTAGAAAATGGGACCTGTCAGTATCTGTACATTTTAAAGTAAATTGTACCTGCTCTGTGTATTTGGAAGCTGACTACTACATTTGTAAGCTTCAGTATGGACCATATTACTTCAGCTTGCAGAAGAGGATACTATTAAAATATGCAAACATATATCCACATACTATGTAAAATACTATGTAAACATGGGACAGTCTTGTTTATAATAGGGGGAAATTCAGAGTGAAGTGCAGTACACTTATTATTTGGGACTAAGGAAAATGAAGACAACCTTGTATTATTTGTTCCAGAAATTTTCTAAAACACTTTCTCTCTCTCTTTTTAATTTAGTTGTGATTGTATTGTAATTGAATGATATATCTGCTTAGAATAAATGCTGCAGGTGCCATAAGATATTCCTGGATTCCTTGGTACACAAGAGACTGAACATTGCTCAGGAATACAGATTTAAAATATCAGGTAAGTAAATTATCTTCACCTACAGTAAGATTTACAGATGTGTTTGTTTTATTGTAAGTGCAGAAACTCCTCCCCTCAAATCTCTGAATCCCCTAGCTAAGCTAGGATACTAAACTCCTCATTGGATACTACACGCTATGGAGGAATGGTTGGTGAAATTGACAGATCTTGCTGAGATGCATAGATTATTGTCTTTGATTAAAGAAAAGGTACTATATCTATTGTGATTGGAAACCTCTAAAGGAATGTTTATATAACAATGAAAAAAATGAACTTATGATTTCTGGCTTTGATGATTAGACAGAATAGATTATAGAAATAAGAGTATGATGTAACTTTAGAGACAGAAGTTATAACATAATTATACTTATAACTGTTGTGAAGAATATTGAAACCAGTGGTGGGATTCAAATTTTTTTTACTACCAGTTCTGTGGGCGTGGCTTGTTGGGCGTGGCAGGGGAAGGATTCTGTAAAATTTCCAGACAGAAGTGGGATTTGCCGGTTCTCCGAACTACTCAAAATTTCCTCTACCGGTTCTCCAGAACTGGTCAGAAACTGCTGAATACCACCTTTGATTGAAAGCCACTTCTTTGTATCAGAGGCGGTGTTCAGCAGGTTCTGACCAGTTCTGGAGAACCGGTAGAGGAAATTTTGAGTAGTTCGGAGAACTGGCAAATGCCACCTCTGACTGGAGATTTTACAGTATCCTTCCCCTGCCACGCTCATAGAACCATTAGTAAAAAAAATTGAATCCCACCACTACTTTGTATCTTTTTTCTTTCTCTATTTTTAGGCATTAAATGAAGGCCCAGCGTGAAAAAAAATAAACTTCACTGAATGTTCCTTTATTTAAGAATTGGTTTAAAAAAGCAATACATTTTTTTTCTTTTTTTACATCACTGCCCTTCTCAGAGCAGTGTAACAGGGTAGCATGTAATTACACTGCATAGGATTAAATGTACCATCTTGGACAAAGAAATAAGCTCTCCCAACAGGGCCTTGAGTCAATAGTAAGTGAAGAAGCAGGAGGAGAATGCATCAGTGTTTGACTTTGGTGTCACTCAGAGCTGGGGTAACATTGTGGTATTTGTCTTTGAGTAAGACATGGACATCTTTTGCCAAGCCCTTATTGTCCTGGCTCTACTGTTAGGCAGATTGAAGCAAAAGGCTCAGATGACAGCAGCATGATATTGTAGTACAGAGCTATATATGCATGTTGCCATCCCTACATCCTGAGCTAAGGATGGGAGGACCAAAGAGGGAGGGAGGAGAGAGAGAAGAACAGACAAGAGAGTGGAAGAAGGAAAGAAGGAGGGCAGAAAGGGAGGGAGGGAAGGAAGTAAAAAAAGGAAGGCAGAAAGTAACAAGGAGGGAGGAACGGAGGGAGGGAGGGAGGGAGGGAGGGAGGGAAGGAAGGAAGGAAGAAAGGAAGGAAGGAAGGAAGGAAGATTTCTTACACCAGCGGCTTCTCACAAGGAAACTCAGTGGGGAAGCCAACAGGAAGACAGGAGTTACTCCCACCCCTGTTAATTTTTTTCTGACCTGAGGTCATTCTGTTTCTCTGTTGAAGTAAGGAAATATCCTTATTTAGACTGGATGGCAGAAAAAGCTGAATTGTTTCCTGAAAAGCAAGGGTAATATAGGGCATGATCCAGTATCAAGAAACATGGCAGAATAGATAACCTTTCAGTTAGAATTAATTGCCCTGGGTGGTGAAAACGCTGCATCCAAAAGAAGCCGCATCAAAGAAGCTACTGTGTTTGGGCCGAAACATTACTGATAGAAAATAATTTCTGAGAAGGTTATTATAATGAAACATTAACACTGTGCTCCTAGAATACCATAAGCCACCCGAATTTCTTGGAAACAATCTCACACCATTGGGAAAAGCTTCCTTCCCAGCTTATAATGCAGATACAATTCCACATGGTTTTTTTCTATTTGATTTAATGAACAACTGATGCCAAAAAGAAGCTTTTTATTTTTGTTTATTGCATGCAAATGATTGCAGAAACCATTCTGAGGTATGCATTCATAAAGAAAAAGTAAAATCAGGTCAAGCCATACACCTCTCTGAACCCTAGGAAGGAGCCATTGGCAAGACACTTCTGAAATTCTGCTAAAAAAACCCCCACAGAGGTTCACCCAGGTAGTCATCAGAAGTCAACACTGATGAGAGAGAGAGATATAAGAGAGAGGGAAGGGAAGAGAATGGAGGAAAGAACGAAAGAAAGAAAGAAATGTCTTAATACCTGAAGCCAAGATAATCTCAATATAACTGTAACTAGGTGTGAACTTTTTGTCAATGGAATCTGAAAACATTTATCATCTGTGGTTTTATACCCATCCTCCATTTTTTCTTCTTCCTGTCTTGTCTCCTCTCAATATTCCTAGACCTGACATTTTGCCATTACTCCAAATTGTATTTTCCTCTCACTTTTCTACAGCAAACCAAATAGTCTTCTCCTATAGAGAAGAACAAACCGAAATGCAGGAATGCTGTAAGTGGTAGAATGACATCAGCACATACATAGATTATATCTTCTGTGACTGAAGCTCACAAAAATGCTCACCAAAAATATATATTTGCCTGATGGCTGGAATTTGCATTTCTCTAAGGTGGCTTTTGTGGGAACTAAAACTGTAATCGCTCAGGCTCTGCCACAATGAGACACTATATTGGCTGCTGTGTGAAAAGACAACATGACTTCCTTCCACACTTGTCATTGCAGGGTTCACTTGGCCGGGTGTGGCTATTCGGGAACAACTGGAAAAGAACGGTCTACACCTGAAGTGGTGTGAACATAGTATTGCATTGTACATGACATAGACCAGATGGGAGCCAGAAAAGAATAGCTCCAGTAATGAAAATCCACCCTGATATATTTAGTTAAATGCCTCGTGTGTGTTTCACATTATGAGAAGAAAATAACATTAGAATAATATGCAGGAAAAGGGGAAACTATTATTTTGTCCCATTTGCAGTAGATGATATTTTTTTCAAGATGTCTGTTCCAGCCTAATTAATTGTGATTGTAGTAAACAGTTTCAGACTCCTGTTATTTCATGGCTGTAATGCTTTCTCAGGCTAATTTCCCTAGAATGCACCTTCTTTCCTCTGTAAGTTGCAAGCTGTTATTTTGGTTTCCATAAAAAATATAAGAGCGATGGTGTGCTCATTTGAAGCTTGGATATACACAAAAGAGTATGTGCTCCCTGAAGCCTACTTACTTAACATGGTGACTTATGTGACATTGAAGATGGTGGCTAGTCTTGCTTAAATCACCCACCTCTATTCCTTCCCCCCCACTTGACATATGACTTTTCTGCAGGGATGTGATTCTACCAGTTAGCACTTATTCTTTAGAACCGGTTGTTAACATTCTAAGCAGTTTGGAGAACCGGTTGTTAGAAGAAATTACTGGCCTAATCCTGTAAGGAAGGCAGGAAGGAAACATTCTGGTGTTGCTTACAGAAACTGTCTCTTCGTTAACCCTTATTACATTCTTGGCAGAACTGGACTTCCTGTCTCAGGAATGTCTCTGGAGTTTTCTTTCCCCTCCTTTGCTGGTACTTTGCTTGTGTGGAGTGACCATTCAAAGTTACAATGGCACTGAAAAAAGTGATTTATGATCATTTTTCATACTTATGACTGTTGCAACATCCCCACAGTCATGAGAGGCCACACCCAGTCAATAACATGACCACCAAGCCATGCCCACCACCTAAGCCACACCCACAGAACCAGTTGTTAAAAAAAATTGAATCCCACCCCTGCTTTTCTGGAATAAAATTAATGTCTGAGTGATTTATCCAACAAAAGTTATTCTGTATGTATACAGCTATAAGAATGAGAAAAGAAGCACAATTCTCTTTTTTAATCTCTTGGACCATATTGTTTTCTGCTGACAACCACTCTGTCTGTGAGAAAAATATTAGGAACACCCCCCAATTACTATTACTACTGTAGAAATTGTGAGATATAGTAAGGGAGCACGTAGGAAAGTGCTTCTCTGCTCCTTTTGTCCTCCCCTTCTCAATAATCTTTCACTTAAAGTTGTGGCCACAGAAGTTTCGTGTTCATTTGATTGTGATTTGAGGTATTACCTCTCTGAAGTACACTCACACAGCTTCAGCGTCACTGTGGAGGGAAAGAAAGTGAAACACCAGGTGACCTGGTTGCTGAAAGGGTAAATGAGGGATGTTTCAAACTAAATTCTTTTTTATAGCACTTCTGAATAAGAGTTTGCTGCTTGCTAGTTCACTGGTAAATTACTTTGGGATCAGTCAGGCCTTCTATGGAAGAGGCCCTATTATTGATTTATCCAAGAATGAGTGACTACTCCTGATGATGATACCTACCCTATCAACCAGCAACTCTATGATCTTAATATTCAAGATCCAGCCTTACATATAGTGGGTTAGGTAGGTGTAAGCATCTTGTCTCCATTCTTAGGCTTTAGAAGCTGAAACAAATCCCAAAAAACAGGATTTTTTTTAATGCTCCAGAACTTCAGCATTATTACAATGTGTCAAGTCCCACATTATTTGACTTTTGAAGTGTTTTGCAATTTCTTTGTAGCAAATTATTGTAATATCAGGGTCATTGCCAGGGTGGGATTCCACTGGTTTGGACTGGTTCGGGTGAACTGGTAGTTCCAGTGATTAGTTGGCAATGCCCACCTGCCCCTGCCCTAGTCTGTCCTATATTTCTGTGTTTTGCAGCCCGGCTGATTCGCGTGACACAGGGGATTGCTGCACCTCAGCTGTTTTATTCACCAGGGCTGCAGCAGAAAGTAAGTTTTAGAGCTGAAAATAGATAGTTTTTAAATGCTGCATGTACTTATTCACAAAGCCAGTTGTTACACCGGTTGAATCCCACCACTGATCATTACTGAGAAGCCCTTCACCATGTGAA